GTTTGCCAGCTTGCTATTTGTTTCCCTTTTTCCACCTTTGACAAAGCGTTTCTCGCTCGTGCTCATGCTGCTTGTTTTGGATATTTCACTTTGGCTTACGTTTGAACATGCAGAGACGCCGACCATTCCGACCTGAGTAGGTCCTGCGGCCGAAACGCAAGCTTTCACTTGGAAATCTCTTTGACTGTAGGCTTTCGAGCTCTCTGCGAATGTCATTTGCTGAAATCTTGATCCGCGCTTAACAGACGTTATGGCATGAGAGCCGTATTCGTTAAGAAAAGTACGATACTCCCTCCACGAGTTTGGCTCCCAGGGATTTTTTATGTGTACGGGCAAGTTCTCGAAGTCTTTAATAAATGTTCCTTTCAAGGTGATGTTGTCACTCAGTAGACATTCTTTATCGACGTGGATCTTTTCTGTTAAGGCCTGCTTGATCAAAGACATGCCACTCACTTCAGTATTCTTTGAACTTTTTCTCTCTGTTGCAACCGATACCGTGACACCCAATGAGTACGAGGACTGCAAAGAGGCGCTCAAGCTTGACTGAGTGGCGAGTGATTCATAAAACGCCTTAGTATTTGCATAATATTCGAAGTGGCTGCTTGAAGACTTCAAAGTTTTCTTTATGAGACATTTCGGCGGTAGCTCCTCAAAGATCCTGTTCTCTTTCTCCTGGAAGTCGGCCAGTAAGTTGACCTTTCGAAGATCTATGACTCTTCCCAGTCCGTAATTCTCAGCTACGGTAGCCACACATCTTTCTCTAACTGCGTGTAACACGAGAATAAGAAACACCAAAGGGACGTGCATCATTCTGCTTTTCGAAGTACAATCTACGAAGAAAAAAATTTTACATAAGTGCTTTGGAAAGTAGCCAAAGAACGGGACCAAAACATTTTAACATGTTTGATATGAAGCTACATATGAAATTTTTTAATGAATACATGAAATTCCAGTTTAACCTTCTTTTGCTACAAATGTAAAAATCGAAAAGCTAAAATTTTGCTTCCATATTTTTACTCTGAGAAAGTTTAAGTCATCTAAATATTGCTGTTTAGTGAGACTGCTCCATCGATTTAGAACAACATTGGAGGATGTAAGAGCTTTGAGTTATTTCCACTCTTTAGTGGGCCATTTTTTAAAGCAATAAACGCTTCATTCCAAAGTTACGGCTACCAAGTGGTCTTTGTTCAGTTTGTTTGCCTCTTGATTAGAACAAAAGCCATTGACACAAAAGCTACCTCAAACGTTTTTGATGCGAAAATTCCTCAAGAACTTGATTAACGGAAGGACATCCAAAACATGATGTATTTTTAACAATTTCAAATCAATTACATTTAGTTCATCAGTTAAGTTCTCCAAATTTTTTCTCCCAATAGCAATAAATTTATATTTGAATTTTTCGACAAAGACAAGGCACTGTCGTGTTAGTAAGTGTTTCTTGTCGATATGATGGCCTTTCACCTCCTACTTTTCATCACATGATATTCCAGCGCAGGCACGCTTGTACTTTGCCATTTGTTTCTAGAACTAAAATAAGTTGCTTTTTTTTAAATTGCTTCAAAACCGCCTAAATTACTACCAACAGACACGGTCATATAAGATACTCTAATTGGTTCTTAATGATTTTTTTACGAAATTGTGCCTGAACCTTAGCGATAAAGAGCCAAACTTCGGAAAAATTGACGCAAAAACTCGGACTCATGCCCAAAACTTCTGTTGACATTACTTCCACCGACTTGTCTTTGACCCAGTTGACTGGACATAATGCTTTTCGGAACACGTTTCTATGTAGTTTAATCCAATGGAGTCTTTTATTTCACGACGTGAAGAGTGTAACACTACGGGTATATTTTTTGTGTAAAAGATCTTGTGTAAGATCCAAACACCACTTAGTTGGCACTTTAGGTTTTTTGTTTTTTGTTTTCCTTTTACGTTGTTATAATTTTTCATTGCTCGTTTGGAATGTTTTGATGTAAAAATGGTGCGTAATGTATTTGTCCTAATATTAAAAGTTGAAAATTGATCGTTTGCAGCAGCTTTCGCAGTTAGTTTTATTTCACTTTTGAAAGCAGTGATTAATTCGTAAATCACGGTTGAAGTTGCAACTAGTGCAAAGTAACCCACCGGTAAATGTGCGCTGTATTCGATGAGTTGATTCGTTCTTTCCTCTTGCTGTATTTTAAAGTTTCGTTTGTAAATTTGTGTTTTAGTTTAAAGTACCTAGGACTCAAAATATCTTTTTACATAGTAGTTTTCTAGTTAATTGCTGTATTTAAAATAATCGACCTTACTACTTAGCGAGTTCTCCTTTACCTCTTTTTTTGCGTAATGAAAGCACGGTCTGGCGTCCAAAAAGTGTCCACATTTAGCGCGCGGCCAAAGATTTTCCTTTTGATTTGAAGGACATTGGAGGATGTTAGGGCTTTGGAATATTCCTCGAAATGTTTTTGAATATTTTTGTCAAGTAACCTCCAAGAGTGGCTCATTTCAGTTTCAAAGCAGGAAACACTGCACTTCAAAACGACGACTAACGCATCAAGTCATTTGCTTGTTGTTTTTTGCCTTTTGATTCAATAAAAAGGAAGCAGTGTTGATATTAAGAATGTTTTCATTTTGATGAAAAATAAGGAGACCATTACATGTAGCTCGTGACTTATAGTTTTTAAATTAGTTTTCCTATTAAAAGCGAAAAAACGATGCAAGAAAGTTTGAAAATACATGATCGTAAATCTCATTTTTTGCATGGCTAAAACGCTCAAACGCATAACTAGCTATTACAATTTTGTCTATAAAATGTCCAGTTCCTAAATTAAGAAAACCCAGAACTTTAAAAATTACGATAACATAAGAAGGCTAATTTACTTTAACAGAAAACTTTTAGTTTGTAGACCAACCTTAAGATCCTAGCTCCTCTGATTCTCTTGGCTTATGACAAACCTTGATATCAGAGACTCGCTTAAACTTCAGAGAACAAAGCCTTGATTTATAACTATTACATCAACAAAAAGTGTACCCTTTGACCTTCCGGGTAAGGTTCAGGTCATTTGCATACTAACCAGTGGGAAAATGAGAAAAATAGTTATTGAGTTAGAATAATAAATGAAAACATAATTGTTCTGTGTTTTCTTCCTGCCTTGCGGTGTTTTATTATTATTATTATTATTTATTTCGGTCGTAATCTACCCACCTAACTTCTTGCCCTTTCTCTCCCTCTTCTAGCGATCCAAATGGGGTTGAAAAAAAATTAATAAGGCTCCCAATTTAATTTAGGAGCCAAGGGTCGTTCTGCTCCTCAAGAATAAGTAAGTCACACGTCATATGTTCTTCCACGACAAGTTTCCCTCAGAGCCAGTGGAAGGATAAAGATACAGTTCGAAAGATACGTCAAAATTAATGATAGTCTTTCTCTTTTTTGACAAGAATTGAACGATTTGAAGGGGCAACCATACCTAAACCACAAGCCTACATGTAGTCTTGTTGTGTTTTGTTCTTGTTGATTAACCTATAGTTTAAAAACGATCCCTTTTTTCAACGGTTTTAATATCTTAATGGCTGCCCAAAATCAATTAAGATGCAGGTAAGGCGCCTTGGTATTTTGCGGTTTCAATGGATCAAATTTGCACCAAATTTGGTCAGATATTTGTTTAGGAAACTTAGCGATCACTAGTTGATTTTCAGGTAAGACACTTGATGTCGAGTATACGAAGAAAAAGTAAATCAAAGCAAATCGAAACAAGAATGGTAATCAGGTAATCAGGCAGTCAAGCGAACTGGTTTTTAAGAGCAAACGTCATCCGACATGTTTTTTAAGTGATTCTGAAATTAATTTGGACAGGTAGAGGGGAATTAGAAGCGATTTTCGACGTAAGCGATGGTTTACAGGTAGCACGTGTTTGTAATGTGGCCGATATGAACACAAATACGGCTTAGTTCTGCTCTATTTTGGTCTAAAATCTCGTTGTAATCGCACAGATTATGTTCTCGTCCAAAGTGGGAGTGTATGGCTCAATAGGTTATCATGAAAGCTTCCTTGAAGCCGAACTATGGGGAACCCAATCTTGACAATACTGGAATGTAGGAAAGGCGAAATACCCTGAAATTCTAAAGCTCAGACTGAATGATAAGTCGAAACACAGCGCGACGGAATATTTTAAAACGTGTGATGACTAAATATTCTAAATTATTTAATAATCCATTTAATGCGGTGCAATTAGCTTTTTCTCAGAATCCAATTTCCAGTTTCTTCTGCTGATTGATGATTCCAATTCTACTCTTTTTCAAGACTTTCTCCTCTAATGGATTTAGCAATCTCCATTTTTTTTTTGGGCTTGGACTTCCAAGTGAAATGAAAAGTGAGGTGAAATCATCAACAATCAGCGACCACAGTCTTGTTTGTGTGACGGTTAAGTTAAAAGCGCCCAAACCGCGTTGTTCATACATCGCCGCAAGAACCTACAAGAATTATACTCATGCTAGATTTACTGATGACTTGGCTAGCGCTCCATTCCACATAGCTAACATTTTCGATGATTTAGATGACCAAGTTCAAGTTTTCAATTTTCTGTTTTTAAATGTACTTAACGTTCACGCACCCGTCAAGCGTGCTAAAATAAAATCAAGACCAAATCCACACATCACACCTGAGACTCGACAGCTGATGAGAACTCGAGATAAATGGCGCAAAAGCGCGACTAAAACAAAAGACCGGCTTCACTGGAATGCCTATCGGTTTTTTCGTCAGGAGGTCAAGCGTGAAATTCGACTTGCTGAAACGGAACATGTTCGTACCGAACTTCACACAGCAATGGAAATTCAAATTCCATCTGGAAAGTCTTAAATCGTTGCTTACCTAGAAAAGATCCAATATTTCTAACAACGGAAGATCACCTTTCTCAAGGGAATAGATTCAACAAGTTTTATACCTCTGTCGGCATATCCGCGGTCTTAAAGGCAAAAACTCTTGCCGAAGAACAGGGTTTTGACTCTTTAGACCATAAATCCACTGCATGTTCTTCTAGCAGCTGTTTGCACGATGACAGGTGTCCATCATTTGAATTTCAGCGAATTACGGAAGAAGAAGTTGGGAAGATTATAAGATCTTTACCGTCGAACTAAACTGCCGGCCTGGATAAAGTCACAGCCAGGATACTGAAAGACAGCTTACCAATAACACTGTCTCCAATTACGAACCTTGTTACTTCCTCTTTCTCTTCAAACACATTTGCGCAAGTCTGGAAATCAGCTGAAGTCATTCCTATTCTCAAATTAGGTGACCCTGACGAACCTTCCAACACGCGCCCTATATCCCTTCTTCCCATTTTTTCTAAAGTCTGCGAAAGGTCAGCCCCCTCATAGTTTGTTAATTTCTTAGATCAAAATGAAAAATTTCCACCCTACGAAGTGGTAACAGGATATTTCATTCAACTGAAACTGCTCTACTTTACTTCAGAGACGAGATCTTAAAGAACATAGACGACAAAAAGGTATCCGTGATCGTCCTTCTTGATATATCAAAGGCATGCGACAGTATACGCCATGATCTGATGCTGTTAAAACTTCATAGTATAGGCGTGTCCAGTGGTGCGTGCAGCTGGTTTGGAAGCTACCTTTTGCAACGATACCAAGTTATTAATGTGGCCAACTCTGTTTCTGACCACCTTTCCGTGACTCTGGGCGTACCACAAGGCTCAATTCTAGGACCGGTCTTATTTACACTGTATGTAAATGACGTCCTGTCCGTCCCGAGGCACTGCCGAGCAATGGGCTGCGTTGACGACACTAAGATTTTCCTCGGCCTCCCCCCAAGTCAAATTTCAGATGCAGTTGCTGCATTAAAAAAGGATCTTTCGGAAATAGCAGGGTGGTGTTGTACAAACTTCCTACTCATCAATCCTGAGAAGACCAACCTCCTGGTTATTAGAGTGCCGCAATAAATGGGAAGCCTACCACCTATTCCGCCGGTTAAATTGATGGGAAAGGAGATCAAATCTGTAAGCGTGACTAAAGACCTGGGTGTGACTATTGACTCCTCATTAAGTGTTAATGAGCATGTGATTAAAACAGTCTCTGATTGTATGTATAGGTTAATTAGGATCAACAGAATGAAGCACCTTCTTGATAGATAGACGCTACTTTCGCTAATTAACGCTTTTGTTTTCAGTTAATTATTTTACTGTTCCTCCGTATGGAGCAATACATCTGAAAGAAAAGTGAAAAGACAACAGTCGGTTCAGAACTTTGCAGGCAGGATAGTCGTCGGCCTCAGAAAGTACGACCGCATTTCTGAAGGCTTGAAGTCGCTGAAATGGCTTCCTATTGCCGATAAACTTTTTTTAAATGACTCTGTTATGGTTCACAAGTGTTTAAATAGACTGGCGCCTGACTATCTCAGTCAAAAATGTACAAGGAGACTAGAAATACATAACAAGAAACACACGAAATAAAAAAGATCTGAACCTACCAAGATGCCGGTTAAAAACTGGACAGCGATCGTTCGCCTACAGAGGCACTGCATGTTGGAACAGTCTCCCTAAAGACCTTAAGGAGGTAGCGGACGTTAAAATCTTCAAGAAGAGACTTTTCAATATGCTTTTAGCCTGATTTTTATTTTGTCTCTATGTTATTTTAATTAGTTAATAAGTTAGTTCTATTCTTCTTGTTAATTATTTAGTCTTAGTTGGCATATTATGGCTGAAAAGCTCTGTCAACGGAGCTTCAATAAAATGTATGTATATATATGAAAACTCACCAAAAATTGTATTTATAATGTGATTTAGTGACAGATACATATCTGTCTGATTTAACGAGAATAGAAGCAAACTTTTAGAAAAGTTTTTGGGATTGAGATGGGGGGGGAGGGAACAAGCTACCAGACCTCTCTCGAACCGTGTTCCATTACTATTTTTACCCATAGTCTAAGGAGACTAGTCACAAGATACTTTCTCTACACCAAATGTTACAATAAATTTCATCGTTCCACCAGTCTTGCTCTCCTTTAGAATACTTCGACTTAGTCATTCCAATTCTTAAAATATTTAATCATTGTACGTTTTAGCATATTCCGGTATGCTGTGTTTTAGAACATTCTGTCATTCCTCGTTTTAGGATATTGGATCATTCCATATTTCAGAGTATTCGGCAATTTCGCCTAAACTATGAGTGATTTTTATCGCAAAACCGGATTTGAAGGAATGCTTACGGTTGTTAGGCCTGTGTATGAACGCAGAAAAATAGTTTCATAGGATTCACTTTTAATTCATTGTTATCAGTATCTTGTGCACTCGTAGGATTCGGAGACTTCACTTTCATTCTGTTCTTTTATTCGTATCTTGCGCACTTTTAGGATTCACTTTTATTCTATTGTTTCGGGAGTATTGTGCACATTCGCAGGATTCACTCTCATTCCATTGTTTCATTTATATTTCATGTATTCGTAGGATTCACTATCATTCTCTTCTTTCAATTGCCATGTCGTGCAATCGGAGG